ACACTCGTCCACACACATAAAACTGTGTATACCTGTACACTCACCTACACACATACAACTATGTACACCTGTACACTCACCCCCACACATACAGCTATGCATACCTGTACACTCATCCACACATACACAACTATATATACCTGTACACTCATCCACACACATATAACTATGTATACGTGTATACTCGTCCACACACATACATATATATATATATATATATATATATACACACACACACACACACACACACACACACACACACACACACTCATCCACACACATAGAACTGTGTATATCTGTACACTTGTCCATGCACATATAATTATGTGTATACCTGTACACTCATCCACACACATACAACTGTGTATACCTGTGCACTCATCTACATATATGTATATTTACACCTTTGGGGACTTCTGCTGCCTCAGGCTTAGCAGATAGCTTTTAGTCATGAAGTTGTTGTAACTGAACAACTTCGTATTTATTTTTCTGTTTCATTTTCTGTTTATCACTGTCTCTTACGCTTTCCCTACAGAAGTTGACTGTTGAGTATCTGTGATAAAATTACTTGCAAAAATTCCTTTACAGCCAGGCATGGTTGTGTGCACCTTTAGTTCTAGTACTTGGGAGGCAGAGGCAGGAGGATTTCTATGAGTTTGAGGCTAGCCTTATCTACAAGAGAGTTCTAGCGCATCCAGCTACACAGAGAGACTGTGTCTCAAAAAAATTTTTTTCCCCATTAGATGGTCCTCTAGTGTATTGCTGACCTATTAAGAATTTTACAGCTGAAACAGTCTATTCATCCTCAACACCATAAAACAAAGCGAACGAAACAGCTATAATGCTGTGGATGTCTGTGCGTGTGTGCTCACATGCATGTGTGCCTGTCAGTCTTACTGTTGTCTGTCAGGCACTGTTCCTCTTGCTTTCTGAGCCAGGCTCTGTTGCTGGCCTGGAACTTGTGAGTAAGCCGTGGTGGCTGGCCAGTGAGCCCCGGAGTCTGCCCATCTTTGCCTTCTTCCCGGTGCTAGGATCGCAAACACGTGCCGCCATGGCTGCTGTTTCCATGGCTGCTGAGGTTCAGCCTCAGATCCTCATGCTTGCAGAGCAAGCACGGTACCAACTGAGCCAGCTCCTCCGCCCTGTGATGTCTTTATTTGCTCTTAGCACTGGGTTTGTGGTGTGGTGTTTTATTGTCATCAGACTTAGAGAGGGCAAGTGTTTGCTTTTATCCTTGAGATGGAGATAGACAGACAGACAGACAGATAGGTAGGTAGGTAGGTAGATGATAGATAGGTAAACAGACAGAAAGAAAGAAGGTAGGTAGGTAGGTAGGTAGGTAGGAAGGTAGATGTGTGCATCCATGCTTGTATACTTTGGAGTTCATTGTAAGTCACATGTTTTCAAATAGGAGATGAGAATCTTGAATCCCCCAAAGGAGCTTTCTGTCCATTCAGGTCTTGGGATGTAGGAGGCCCGAGCCTGCATGGTGGGCAGGCATGGTAAGGAGCTCCCATTTTACACTCCAGCTGTGAGGCTCTGTGGGAGCTGCAGGAGTCCAGGGTTAGGAGAGAAGTGCCCATTGAGGTGGGTCTGCAGGTGGAAGTACACAGGCAGTGGTATTTCAGTTTTGTAAAATAGTCATAGAAATTTCAGTGCTTCCGTAACAGAGCTCTTCTTGTTATTATTTTGTAATTCCGTTTTGCTTTTCCTGTTGTAAAGCCGCAGGGTCGACTCTTGGATGATAACTCTATTGCTGCCGCATGATGTCCGGGACCAGCCCTTGTGTTCTTACAGAGGAGTCAAGAGAGTGCCTAGGAGACCCATTGTGACTTGTAGCTTTGATCATGGTGAAAAGTTAATGTTGCCTATTTTTCAATGGCTATGATACCAGCTATTCAGAGAAATTCATGCTTAAAATATTAAGAAAATCATCTTCTCGTATAGTTTCACTAATAAAAATTTCAAATCTGTCTGTGACATGAGAGGACGTCAGGTCATTGTTCCCGTCAGAAGTCATTTTATGGTGAGCACGATGTGTCCAAGGGAGGTGACTTGGATGTGCAACATCAATGGAAACAGATAACCAACTGTGATTGGACAGAGGAGATGCATCATACCTAGTTCTACCTGGAGATGACCCATCCCATAAATTCCCTGTTGCTTAGCACCTCTACTCAGTAAGCATCGCAGGTCTGACTGATGTGCAGACCTCCAGGGCTTTTTGGTTTGGTTTTGTTTTGAGATAGGGTTTCTCTATGTAGCCCTGGCTATCCTGGACCTCGCTCACTCTGTGGCAGTTGAAAGGTGTCAACTTTTTACTTACTGTCAACAAGCTTTGAACTCTACCCACATGTATATCATTTATAAAACAGGTGTATATTCCTGAAAGGACCTGACCATAAACATAATTCCTAACCTGAGTTTTTGAGAATGACTCAAGGTCGCATTAAGAGTTCTCAGTCACTTTACATAATTTCATAAGTGCTATTTAGAATGCCTTTAAATTCATGTAAATGAAAAAAATCATATGGTGAACATTTTCTTTGTAAAATATCTTAATTTAAAACTACTTAAATTTCTTGGAAAATTTTATTATGTAGACCGTGGGCATATTGTAAAAAGGTAATAGTGATGTAAATAAATATGTTCTCTTTCACATCTGCTTGTAGATATCATTGATTTCTTTTAGCTGGTTTGGTTTCAGCTATATATAACAGCCTTTACCAAGAACACATCAAGAGGTTACCGGAAAGCGGTCAGGAGTGTTCTGGGTTCTAAGACTTGCTCTGCTAATCCTTGCTCGGACAGGGGAAGGGTTTGTGGGAGACATGAGTTCCGTATGTCACGGATTTTCAGATAGGGGCCATCGGTTGGCTCTGCAATGGACTGGGATCAGATCTCATCTGTGTGGCTTGCTGGCCAGGTGACTGTTTTTGCCTGTGTACCAAGTTTTCTGGAAGAGAAGCTGATTAGGCCTGTCCCACAGCTTCCTGTGAGGACGTAGATTTAACATGGGAGGACAGCCGGACACGGCCAGAGCCGAGGTTCACGCTTAGCTAGTACTACCATCTCACTGGGAGGCCGAGGAGGACAGGTGTGCGGATTTGTCATTCACTGTACCTAATGCAGAATGTAAATGAGTGTATACCTGTGTATAAACATACATATTAATATAAACTGTACAAGCAGTTCATAAAATACACTTTAGTGGTCTCTGGTTTGTGTCCTAGTGTTTTGTTTTGATTCTTCGTTGTGACCTGCAGGTTGATCCCATGACCTCTGTTACTGGCATGTTGAAGACGTCCGGATGAAGGTCTTTAAGGTCCCCATGGTCTGCACGGTGCTTGGATGCACTGCACAAACAATGAAGTCCCCTGCATCCACACTGCTGTTCTCAAGCATACGATGTGCTTGTAACACAAGTCACTGATAGATACTCAACTTCAGCATTGACGTTAGCGAGATTTACTTAACTGTGTCTGCTTTACCAAATAAACAAGTCTGTTTTTCTTTTTAATTTTCCATACAGCTGGTGATAAAGTATCTTTTCTAGCCAAGAATTCTCCCATATCATAAATTCTGTGACTATATTCTACTTGCCTAGTTTTAAACTGATTTTTTGTTTCGTTTTGTTTTGGTTTTGGTTTTGGTTTTTCAAGACAGGGTTTCTCTGTGTAGCTCCTCTGTGGGACTCCCTTTGTCCCTTGGTAGACCCAGGATGTCCTTGAACTCAGAGATCTGTCCCCGTCTGCCTCCCTCCGCTGGGATTAAAGGTATGTGCCACAACTGCCCCGATTTGTTTGTTTATTGAAAAACATAATTGTGACTTATTTTGGGTTCACAAACCAATCTGATGAATCTGTCATAATGGTGTAAGAGCTGCTGTTTGATTAACTTCCTGTCTCCCCCTCTTTCTTCATCATGTCACTGGGGACATCCGCTCCTTGTGAGTGAGAACGCCTCCTCTCTTGGCCTGTGTTATGTTCACGTCCAGTATTGCCGTTTCCCTGTGCACACCACGTGTGGTAGTTTTTAACCCCGACGGTATCAGTCGGGAGATTTGTATACAAGCATGACTCCCAGATGCTGCTGTAAACACTGGTACACAATCCAGATGTTACCATCTGTGATCCTAAAAGAGCAACCTGTAACTCTGATCCCTCAGCTCCGATCACCTGTACCATGGTGGGTTCCTTGTCCTCGAATTCTCAGAGTGAGATCACTTTAAAGAGTGTGACTGCTCTGGGGAGATCTGAACATGTCTCTGGGTTATTTGAAGGGAGTTGGGTTTGTTTTGTTTTAATGGAGTCGCTTTTTCACAGCCCATGTTATCACCACCAAGAATAGCGTTCCTTTCCTGCCAGTCCTCTGCAGAACAATAACTTCCAGAGTTCTGAGCTGTAGTTTCCACATGAGCAGGGCAGTGGAAGAGGAGGCGTGTTCAAAGGGGGAAAAAAAAAAAAGCCCCTGGAAGTTAAACTCCGCCCTTTAAAGGGGCAGGTCCGTGCAGTCTGTCTTCGTTACTGTCGCTGGGATCAAACACCATGGCCAGAAGCGACTTGTGGAGAAAAGGGTTTATTTGACTTACATATCCTAAAACCCAGTCCACTGAGGGATGCCAAGGCAGGAACTCAAATTGGGTGGTTACCCGGAGGCAGGAGCTGATGCAGAGGCCTTGGAGGGATGTTGCTCTCTGGCTTGTTCCCCACGGCTTGCTCAGCCTGCTTTCTTACAGCACCTAGAACCACCAGCCCAGGGTGGCCTCACCCACAATGGGCTGCACCATCCCCCATCAGTCACTAATTAAGAAAATGCCCTACAGGCTTGCCTACAGCCCGTCTTATGAGGCATTTTTTCACTTGAGGTTCCTTTCTCGCAAGTTGACATACCTAGCCAGCACCTGGTCCCAGCAAATACCTTTCTGTAGCTCCCTCTCTTGACCTCAGAACCAGAAAAAGCACCCTTCGGCCCTATTCTGAATTTATAAACGACTTAGGGATGGGTTATGTTATTTAATGAATAACTCGTAATGACTTATCGTTTTCAAGAAACAGTTATCTGTCCCATTAACGGCTGGAGACTGTCAAGCAAACCCATGATGCCAAATACAAATGGAGCTTCATTTTGTCCTATCAGTTTCTCCCCGGCGCGTGGGTGGCTCCCACCATGGGGCCTAATCCTCTCGTCATTATGTGTGACTGCTGACTGAAAACCACAACCCAGGGCAGGAGGACCATAAGAAAGCGAATTCCACCTCATTGTCACCGTCTTCTGGAGGAGCGGTTTACTTCAAGATCAGTCACTCTTTTGGAAATTTCTCTAGAGTGAGTCTCACATTCTTTGGTGCTTGGTAGCCATCTCATTTTTAGCAAACTTCCACCCTCAGACATTTAAAGAGCTCCATAAAGTTCACTAAATGAAGACAAAATCCTACTTTTTGAATGACAAAAAAAAAAAAAAACTTAGTTATATTCAGTTTCCTCTCAAAGATCACACTTGTGAACAACCGTCCTTCCATTCAGTTTGCTTAAGCCAAGTACAAAAGCCAGTTAGCACAAGATTTCATTCTCTGCTTTCTGAAGCACGTTTTTTACCAGCGGGAAAGATTAACTCAAGACTGCCAAGTGTGCCTGTGTTTCGGGGTCTTTGGACCATGCAAACGATACCTTGAGCAATTAAGTTTTCTTGTCTAATCTTTGGAAGAATGCAAAACTCAAAGCGGCCATGAGGCCTGTGTCTTGCGTTTAGAGTACACCCTCACCCAAAATGTTTCAGCATGCATGACAAGTGACAGCTGACCGACAGCCTTGGGTAGGCTGCCCAAGACGGGCAAGCTGGTGGGAGAGCTCTTGTTGCTTTAAAGTACTTCCAAAAGCAAAACCAGAAATCAGATAGGGTGCCTCTATTGTCAGCAACCTGAGAGGCAGAGGCAGGAGGATCACCCCAAGTTCAAGGTCAGCCTGTTCTACATAGGGCACTCCAGACACCTGGGGATACTCGGTGAGGCCTTGTTGGAAAAACAAACAAACAAAAACCCTTAGTTCGGAGGAGATGGTAAAACCTGGAAGATGCTATGGCGTGCTAAAGAATAGGAGGGCACGTGGGGGCCCGTTAAACTATTCGGACTCCCTTTGGATGTGTTTGAAATGTTCCATAATAAAAACAAAAGGCAGGAAGGAAGCCCAGGGGAGGGTGAGGAGCCAGGTGGGAGGTAGGGCTTCTTCAAGGAGTGACAGGGGAGTTGTTTTAGTCCTCGTGTTCATAAGAAAGTTATTCCGTGTTTTTCTTATACGAGAATGCATCTCCATCATCCACGGGCAGATGATAGTGGGCAAGCTGAGGTTTGGAGCACACAGAAAGATTTGTAAAAATAAACAGAACAAGGAGAACATTCCAGGTGATGAAAAGGAATGCTGGCATCCGCCCTTGGCAGGACCAAGGCATGCAAGGACTTCCAAGGTAGGCTGGTCCTCTGTTGAGTAAAGCCAGTGTTTCCTCCCCCAGAGATTTGGAGATTCGTGTTCCCTGATAAGGCAGCTGGGCAGGGAAGATGAAACTCACTTAAAACCCAGAGCTCTGGCAGCTGCCCCCCACCTTCCAACCCCACAGCTGAAGGGCAAGACTGCCTTCTGGATTTGAGTCGTGATTTGTCCAATTGAAGTAATAAATGAGCTTGTATTTTGAAAACGATCTGATCTTGGTTGAGAATTCAAGGTCTTTGAAAGGACCAAATCCACACACCATCCCTAACAGGAGCAAAAAAAAAAAAAAAAAAAAAAAAAAAAGCCAAGAAGTCCACTGTTGCGGTGGGATGCTGAATGCTTGAAGCTCGGAGGGATAGGCACTACCGTAGCTGGTTTGGTCTTTTGGTTTTCTGGTTATTTTTTAATTAGATAGCTGATGGTGTGCTGTGTTTTTGAGATCAGCGCTCACTATGTAGTTTTAGACTGGCCTGGAACTTGCTACATAACTCCCAGACCTGCCTCCACCCGGCCTGTGCTGGGATTACAGTCGTGAGCCACAGCTGACAATGTTTTCAAGGGAGAGCTGTTTGAGACCCTTGGATGGCTACAGACTACATGTATAATATTTCAACCCTTCAGATTGCCATCATTTTCTTTTAATTCTTAGTGTAAGTTTCTCTACATACACAAGATACTGCACGTGTATTCAGCTTCAGCCATTAGTATGTAGCCATTTACCATCCACCACCTTGTTAAATCACTTCACCTATAAATACTTAAATATAATCAACCATGTGTTAGTGTCTTTAACAAATCAGTGATTCCTTGAAATTGTCTAATACACAATCCATGTGCGGCTTTTCCTGATTGACCAAGCACTGTTTTCATAGCTGGCTTTTGTGAATCAAGATCATATTTAACTCAGTCATTCTTAGCTATGCTTGACACTCCACTTAAGCTAGCCCTGTGTATTCCTTGTTGTTGGCTTGATGATCCACTGGTCCAAGACCCCCGCGACCCTCACAGCATCCACCCAGTTGAAGAAATGGAGTCACTTGTAGAACATGCAGCATTGTAGATTTGGCCACTTCTCCAGATCCGTTTGTAGAGCTAGTTTCTTGATCTCCAGTATTTCCAGTCCGCTGGGAGAGAGAGTTAAGAGTTTATGAGTCTAAAGTGGTTAGTCAATCCCTGTCATCCGAGCACTTGGGAAATGTAGGCAAGAGTTCAAGGTCATCCTTGGCTACATAGCCACTCTAAGGCCAGCCTGAACTACTTGAGACCCTCCCCTCCCCAAAAAATGTTTCTCAAGCTCAACTAGAATTCTACATAGAAGCCTTTTTTCTTCCTGTTTGCTAAGCATATTCACTCACCTTGAAATGCATTTTCTATGAGAGACATTTTTTCTTGGTCATTTTCAGGAGAGAGACAAGCTTCAAGCTGGGCATGGGGGTATATGCCTTTAATTGGTCTGCTTGGGAGGGATCTCTGTGAGTTCGAGACCAGTCTGATCTACACTGTGAGCTGCAGGCCAGCCAAAGCTACATAGTGAGACAGTGTCTCAAAAAAGAAAGAGTGGCATTCAGCTTTGGTTTTATGTGCTCCTTCCTCTAAGAAATACTTTATTCCATGAAATAATAACATAAATGACTAGCTGGCAGACAAGGATCCTGGACTGGTTGTGGTGGTTTTCTGGCATTTGGGGTGTGAGCTCTTAACTCTCTTTAGATCACTCCTCTCTGAAAAGTAAAGTTTACAAGGAATCTTCAGCCGTGGGAGTAAAAATCAAGATAGCTACATACACAAACCTTTATTAATTGTACACCTAAAGTCAATATTAACCTGTGCTGTTCCAAGGACAGCCTTGAGAAATGAGTGCAGGATCTGGCACCATGAGAAGGTTATATTTAAAAGGCATTTTACATTCATCACTCAGGAATGGAACTTGTGCCACACACCAATCCTAGCCACACACAGACTGCTATCTGCAGTTTTATTCTTGGGCTCCTCTGGTGTGCACTGTAGTTACGGTCCTCTTTGCCCAAGTGTGGAGGTTGTGAGGACCATTTCATTCATTGAAAATTAAACTAGAGTGGCCTTTTTGCAGAGATTTACTGTGTCACGCTCCAATGCACAAATAATAAACAGTGTGTCTCCCTACCCGGGATGGTGTGGAGTGACCAGTTCCAAGTTCAATGGTGCATAATGAAATTTCCAAAGTGGTCGGACAAGCTGGGTGAGTTTAGGACAATGAGCTTTTATGTTTGAAACCGGGACCCCAGCTGTGACAGGCTGGGGAGGTTTTCTTCTACACTTGTATGTTGGGGGGTAGGGAGGCGGCTGCAGAAACTCTAGCAGGCTGAGTGAATGGGTTACCTGCTGTGTACCACAGGAGTTCACTTCATCTCCAGCTGCGAGTCAAGTCTGTAATGGCCCAAGCCTGAATTCTGTGAGAGTGGGGACAGCCTGGAGTGGTTAGGGTGAAATGGCATCCCCAGGGTCTGTCCTGGGCCCCAGGGGAAAGCCATCCATCCGTGCGTAAGTCCCCAGTAGTGCCTCCACTTTCCAAGTTGGTATGGCAACTTCCTTAAGCATGCCCTTCACACACCCGACTCCAGGCACAAGAAACTTGCGTTTGTGAAGCAATAGAGCAGAATGTCTTAAGGCTTTTGCAGAGCTGTCCTGAGAGGTGGCTATAATTTAGAAAGTCCCTCGAAACGCTTGAACCCTAAGAGGTCAGGCATTCTTGGGTGCTGGGGAATATTATCTTAAGGTGTGTTACGTTTGTTTAACTCTGTGAAGCTGTGTTGCTGTGCCTGTCTAAAACACCTAATGGTCTCATAAAGAGCTGACGGGCTAACAGCAAGGCAGGAGAGAGGATAGACGGGGCTGGCAGGCAGAGACAATAGATAGAGGGAAAATCTGAGAAGCAGGAGAGGAAAGAGGGAGCCAGAGAAGGAGGAGGACTCCAGGGGCCAGCCACCCAGCTACACAGCAAGCCACGGAGTAAGATTTACAGAAGAGAATGGGAAAAGCCAAGGCAAGGTAGACAGGATAAGTTAAGGAAAACTGGCAAGAAACAAGGCAAGCTAAGGCCGGGCATTCATAATTAAGAATAAGCCTCCATGTGTGATTTATTTGGGAGTGCCATTGAAGGGTCGAGCTGGACTCCATCCCTTTTTGTCTCCCTCCTGGATGCTATGAGATGCTAATGGACAAACCAGACCTCCTCCACCCTGAGCTCCACAGTGATACCCTGTGCTGTGGTTACTAGAATTTGGGGGCCCCTTCATGGTCATCAGGTGAGAAAAGGGAAATCAGGGTCCCCTCTTGGAATTCTTAGTCTTCTTAATAAAAGAGTTTAAGAATGGACTCAAATGGAAGTTCAAAGACAATTTTATTAGATTTAAAAGGAAAACCAAACCAGGGGAGAATGGGAGAGAGGAGGAAAAAGCCATGCCGCTGAAGCTGGCATGGAGGTTGGACCCATAGCAGACAAGCAACCACATTCAGTGAAAGAGGAAGGCAGCCCAAAATGTTGGGGAAACTCAAAGTGTCAAGGAAAGCATACTTAAAAAAAGAAAGGGCATGCTTTTGATCTTGTTTTAAGACAGGGTCTATATAATCCTGGCTGACCTGGAAAACTCTATGTAGACCAGACTGGCCTCAAACTCACAGAGATCCACCTGCCTCTGAGGCGTGAGCCTCCACACCTGACTACACTTGGCATTTTGATGTGAGTCCTTGTGCTCACAAGGCCAGCGCTTTGTCCACTGCACCATCCTCCCAGCCATATTGAGGCTGTTGAGAGCAGGAAGCCAAGCACAAGTGATTCAAATATGCTCCTTCATTTTGTTGCCAGCCATGTGTAAATCTGAGACTGTGACCTACATGATGTGCCTTAAAGGTGCCAGTGATTTCTGTCAAAACATGCGCAGGAGACTTCTCGAGCAGACAGACGTATCCTGTGTAATTCAGACTCCACAGGCAGACTAATCCTACTTCCTTCCTAACAAGTCCCCCTGTCAGCGAGCTGTTTCTGGGTCCTGCCCACCGGAGGAGACTGCCATACCTTCTGGAATAAAAGGGAGGGACCTGGGAGGATCTTTAAAAAGGACCAAATGTAGTGCCGGTGATGTCCTGTTTCTTAGCAGCTTCTTCAGCATTTTCATCAACCACATTGGGAACTGAGTCACATGCCCAAGGCCTGAAGCACAGGGCAAGAGGGGCTAGTGGCCCTGACCAATGAAACTCACCCTCTCTCTCCTTGGCTCCCTGTGCTGGTTTGAATAGCCATGGCCTCCATAGAGGCACATGTTTGAATGCTTGGCCCATAGGGAGTGGCACTGTAGGAGGTGTGGTCTTGCTGGAGGAAGTGTGTCACTGTGGAGGCGGGCTTTGAGGTCTCCTACGCTCAAGCTGTGCCCAGTGTGATACACGGTCTCCTTTTCCTACCTGTGGATCAAGATGTAGAACTCTCAACTCCTCCAGCATCATGTCTGCTGCCTGCCTGACTGCCACCAGCCGTGAAGATAATGGACTAAACCTCTGAACTGTAAGCCAACCTGAGTTTTCCTTTAAAAGAGTTGCTGTGGTCATGGTGTCTCTTCACAGAAATAAAAACCTAACCAAGACACTCGCCCTTTGCTGGAATCCCCAGAACTACTCCATTGTCTGTAGTTCATGCCTTTGGAGCCTGTCTCCTATGTTGATATGAGAAACAGTCACCTGAGTGGCCAGCTACACACACACACACACACACACACACACACACACACACACTACACACACACTCACTCATACACACACACATACACACACACTCACTCACACACACACACACACACTCACACACTCACTCACCACATCACTTTGACTCTTGGGATTGATGGAGGTCCTCGATGGACAAAAGTTGGCTCCAGCGCGTCTGAGCCACACCCCCGTACATCATCGAGTCCAGGTTATAATTTCTATGTCTCAGTGAAAGCAACCCGCAAGGTTTTGTGTCCTCACTTTCTCTCCCACAAACCACAGAGCGAACTTAAACTTTCTCAGTGAAAACAAGGCCCACAGCTGGGATGTCAGAGGTACCTAGAGCCCTGGGATTCCCACATGTACCCTTCCCTCCTCGAAAGCCATTGAGAAGGACTGTTCTTGACAGCACACACCCAGTCCACGCACTGTGGACACCCACCTGAGAGCTGCCCTGTCCCTGACTCCTAAACAGCCCACATGTCCCAGGAGATGGCACGGTTTCAGCTGGAAGGGAACGTGTTGGGCTCAGTAATGCCAGCACTTTCTCCCTGCTCACACTGCATTGGCTTGTCATAGAGCTCTTGGCATGGCAGATATTCCTGGGCACCTCATACGGCACTGGTCTCCTGACTGATATATCTCTGTTACAGCAGTCAGAGGACTCCTGGAAATCTTCTAGGGTCCATGCTTACTGACCAGGCTCCTGAAGCCAAGCTTGAAGGTGGGCAGGGGGACTGCCAGTACTGTCTTGGAATCAGGCTTCCTAATGGCTAGCTGAAGAACCCCACGGAGAAAGCAAATAAAGAATCTGGGACCCACCGGTTGGGCTGCAGAATTGGCTTGGCAGTTAAGAGCACTTGTTGCTCTTGCAAAGGACTGGGGTTCGATTCCTAGCACTGGTATGATGGCTAACAACCATCTGTAATCCCAGCCCCAGGAAATCTGATGTCCTCTTCTGATCTTTGAGGGCACCAGGCATTCCTGTGGTGCACATACACGCATGCATACAAAACACCCATGTGCATAAAATAATACAATAAATAAATCCAAATAAATAAATAAAAGAATCCAAGACCCGTGAGTCCAGCTCCATTAGCAACTGATGGCACAGGGTAAATTCTCTCTTCCTTCTCCACTTAGACTTTTAAGAAGGGGGGGCACTCTAGTTAGGGAGGGGGGAGGAGATAATCCAGAAAAGGGGAAGAGGAGGATAAGATAATAGTAAGGACATCTGAAAAAAGTCATAAGGAATCATACTACTATCTACCTAAAATACCTCCAATACATGTAAGTTAGTGTATAAATACCGCATATAGAAAAGTTTCCATCTTAACTGATAAAAAATGCTTCCTCCAAGAGTCAAGTCTATCTACCAAAAACTCCAACACCAGGCAGAGGGGCCCTCTTTTGGTTGTCAGGGATGTCCAGGAGACTCCTCAGACTTACAGACTAAATTTTCTTGCTGTTCTTGGTTGCCCTTTAAAGATGGAAGGTAAGTCCTTGTTGAAGACACCGTGTACTTTAGACACAGGGCCCAAGGGCCACTGAGGTGGGACTGATCTGAAAGCCTCCTCCCTGAGGACTGAGTTTCATGGTACTAGAAGGTACCACGTAAGCTTCCAAAGGAAGGAAGTAACAACTGTCCTACCCATCTATGATGCTTAGGAACCCCAACTACACCCAGCATGGCTGGATAACCCTCAGTGCAGTGGTGACCTGCGTACCCTGACATTAGCTGATAGCGATCCAATTGGGCTAAAAACTGCTCAATGAGGGGGAAGCTGTGCCTGGCACTGGAAACCTGGCCAACTACAGGGCTAGAGAAGTCATGGATTTTGGAGAAGAATCTACAACTGCCACTTTGCTAAACCAGCTCAATCCCTAAATATTTGTCTATTTACCCACAGATAAGTGTAGTCTTCACCCTCATCAAGGAAACTTCTCTTTGCAACAGACGGAGACCACTACAGAAAACCACAACCATCCCAACTCCGAGTTGTGGAGCCCAGTCCTAGCTTATGCATGTACAACACATTTTCTTGCATTTAAGGCTCAGGAACCGTTGCCAAAGAGAGGGCAAAAAGATTAGAAGTCCCAGAGGAACAGGGAGTTTTCAGTGGGATTGTGTCTCCTGGAAATGTCAGAAGCTACACCCATGAAGTCTCACCAGCATGGTTGCCGAAAGCTCAGGAGGCCTCAACCCTACACAAGGAACTACAGGCAAGTGAGGACTGCCGAGGGCTGCAGAAATAGTCTTCCCAGGGAACAGCATACCAGTTGGTTACCTAGTACCAAATGGTCAGCCATGAAAACATATCCATGCAAGTAACATTATACGGACTGAACAGAAATACACACACACACACACACACACACACACACACACACACACACGTACACACACACATACACGTGCACATATACGAATACTTAAATATGTAACAATGAAAACAGAGGTGATGAGTTTGAAAACAAGGAGGGGTATGTTGGGGTGGAGGGAGGAAAGGGAAGAGGGAAATGGTGCAATTATATGAAAATCTCAAAAAGAAGAGAAAGGAAGGAAGGAAGGGAGAAAGAAAGAGAGAGAGAGAAAGAGAGAGAGAGAAAGAGAGAGAGAAAGAGAGAAAGAGAGAGAGAAAGAGAGAGAAAAAGAGAGAGAGAAAGAGAGAGAGAGAGAAAAAGAGAGAGAGAGAGCTGGGTGGAGGCGCACGCCTTTAACCCCAGCACTCGGGAGTCAGAGGCAGGCGGATCTCTGAGAGTTTGAGGCCAGCCTGGGCTACAGAGTGAGTTCCAGGACAGGCTCCAAAGCTACACAGAGAAACCCTGTCTCAAAAAAAAAAAAAAAAAAACAAAAAAACGGAAAAACCAAAAAAAAAAAAAAAAAGAAAGAAAGAAAGAAAAGAAAGAAGAGAAAAAAGAGAAAGACAAGGAATTAGCTGTGTTTTGAAAAGCCTAGATATGTGCAAATATTTGCCCTTCTTCCCGCCCTGCCTGCCTGTACTGCCTGGGATTACTGTCTCAACAAAGCCTTAATGTACTTGCTTTGACTTTGGTTCTGGGTTTTCAGACCTAGCGTAGGAAAGGATAATACCAGAACACCTTGGATTCTTTTCTCAATTTCAAAGCTTGTAAGTCTCTCTCTTTTTAAAATGTGTATTAGCATTTTGCTTGCACATCTCTGTGTGTGTGTATCAGGTGCGATATTGGACCCGTGGAAGCCAGATGTTTGGTTATGGGCCACCATGTGAGTGCTCGGAACTGAACTTGGGTCCTGTGGAAAAGCAATACTGAGCAGTCTTTAACCAGTGAGCAATCTCCCCAGCTCCCCCTCCAAATATTCTTATTCATTTTTATTGTATGAATGTTTTGCCTGCATGTCTCCATTGTGTGTGCCAGGTTCCCATGGAGGTCAGAAGAGGGCGTTAGATTATAGGAGGCCATGAGCCACCATGTAGGTGCTGGAAATTGAACCCCTGGGTCCTCTGTAAGAGCAGCCAGTACTCCTAACCACTGAACCATCCCTCCAGCCCCCTTGTAAAAGATTTTGACCTTGATCATTTATTTTCTTATGTTATTTCTAAAAGCCATGCGTAGCTATAGTAGAAAATTTGGAAAAATGCAAATAATTACTAAATGATGAAAACCTTGGGCATATTAGAAAGTTTACTTCTGGCTTTTATTCTTTCCAAAAGCTGCTTTTTTGTTGTTGTTGTTTTTTGGTTTTTTGTTTTTGTTTTTTTGAGACAGGGTTTCTCTGTGGTGTTTTGGTGCCTGTCCTGGAGCTTGCTTTGTAGACCAGGCTGGCCTCGAACTCACAGAGATCCGCCTGCCTCTGCCCCCTGAGTGCTGCGATTAAAGGCATGCGCCACCACCACCTGGCCCAAAAGCTGCTTTATAGGCTGGAGAGGTGGCTCAGAGGTTAAGAGCAATGGCTGCTCTTCCAGAGGTCCTGAGTTCAATTCCCAGCAACCACATGGTGGCTCACAACCGGTGCCCTCTTCTGGCCTGCAGACGTACATGCAGACAGAACACTGAATACATAATAAATAAATCTAAAAAAAAAAAAAAAAAAAAAAAGCTGCTTACTTACTATTATCTGTTTGCTGATTGGTTGTTATTCTTTGTGTTTTGTTTCACGGAGTTGAAGGGCACACCCATGCTAAGCAAGCCCTCTACTGATGAACTGCTCCTCCAGCCGATGTGTGTTTGGTTCCCACTGTCTTTCCACAAAACAGCAAGATGGATTATTTCAAAACACTTGGGTCCACAGCAGACCGTCTGTAGATTTGTGTATAGACCACTTACGTGGGAATAAATATAATATGAATAATATAAAAGGAATACAAACACATAGGGTAGGAGTCCCAAGTGTATTCTAGAAACAGCTAGAATTTTCTGACATCCCCCAGCATGCTTTAACAACGCCTTGGTCTTTGGTAGATTTTCTGAGCACACATGAGGACTGAGCCTCCTCTTCACACTCAGTGGCACTAATAATAATCTCCCGGGTGATGTTCTGAGAACAATAAGCATGGGAGGGGAGCTGATGAGGCACCACTATAAATACTCACTGCAATAAGAACTGTCAGGAGGGCCTCCGTGCGGAGCGATGCTAGGCAGCTGGAGTGAATACTGCTAAAATAGGGAGTAGTCATGTTGACTGTGGAGGCAACATCAGCACTTCGGGAGACTAGTGCCGTTCGTGACCAGTCCCATGAGCGAACCCTGACTTTTCTATGTGTCTGTTGTTTGACCTTAAACACTGTGGGTTCCTGTTTTCTCACCTGAAACATGAGGCTAATAACAGAAACCTTGATGGCTCTCTGCAGTAAAGAATTCCACCCCCTTCCTCTTCCTTCTCCTCTTCTTCTTGCCCTCCTCCTCCCCTCCCTCTCCTCCCCCCTCTCCTCTTTCCCCAGGGTTCTTCACCCAACTGTTAGCCCACAAAGATTCTGGACAAGTTTTGGACAATTGTGATTTTCCTGGGGTCCCTGAGAAAACTCTGTCTCTTACTTGAATGGAAAACATTGAGAATTATGTAAACATTGCAATCTTAATTTCTGGAGATATTTGCAAAGTTTTCTAACAGCCTTGCCAGGATCGAAAGTTCCCAGAAATATTAGCATTTTCGTATTTAACATTGCCCCTTGATCTTGAGAGTTTCACATGAGTATACAATGAAATTGATTATATCTGCCCTCAGTTCTCCTTCAATGCCCCCTCCTCCCACATAGTCCCTTCAACATGTTCTCCCTTCAACGTCATATTTTTGATAACCCAATAAGTCCAGTTAGTGCTAACCATTTGTATATGGATGTGGGGCCGTCTACTGGAGTCTGGAGAATCTACTAGTGGCCACATCCTCAAAATAAAGAACGTTTCTCCCTCTCCCAGCAACTATCCATGGCCAACAGCTCCTCAGTAAGGGGTGGAGTCTAGAGATCATCTTTCTCTCTGCTCTGGGATGTGGGATGGCTTGATCTTGGGCGGATCTTGTGCAGGCAACCACAGGGGCTGTAATAACAATTTGTATCTGGTGTGGCTTTCACTTGATCCACTTATGAAGTAGAACAGGAAACAGAGGTCAACAAGAATCAAATGTTACTTGACAAGCAGAGGCAGGCAGAGATCTGAGTTCAATGACAGCCTGGTCTACAGAGGGAGTTCCAGGACAGTCAGGACTACACAGAGAAACCCTGTCTCAAAAAAACAAAACAAACAAACAAAAAAACAAAAAACCTTTCCCTATTTGTAGTTGATAAAGGACAAAGCTAAATGCTAAATTCTGAATTGTTTTCTCGTTCAGATCTAAAGATCTGAATTAAAACATAATTTGCTTCCTTTGAACTAATAAGTTGTTAAAATTGAAGGCAATGTTTATATTTTTTCTTTTTTTTGCTGTTTGTTGGTTTGTTTGTTTGTTTTTCAAGACAGGGTTTCTCTGTACAGTCCGGGCTGTCTTGGAACTTGCTCTGTAGACCTGACTGGCCTCGAACTCACAGGGATCCATCTGCTGCTGCCCCCTGAGTTCTGTGATTAAAGCCACCACTGGCCAGCTTTGAAGGCAATATTTAGACACTCAGCATTTTATAAATTATATATACAGATGCTTGGCTGAATTGGTTAGTTATCTTTGCACAGAAATGACCTGTCTCTCTCATGTCCCCTTTCCTGCCAATCACACCTTACTTTTCTGAGCACTCAGCCAGGGAGCAGGGCAAAGAGCGTCCTTCCAGGCTGTGATGCCAGAAAGTTGTCTTTCCCTTTCCTCTGATGGCCACAGAGATTCCTCCCGGTTCACTGATGTTTGAAATTCCATAATTTACTGCTTTGGCTTAAAGCCAGAAGAAGGGATGCAAAGTCGATTTCTGCCTGGCTTGTGCCCAGCACGATCTTGTTTATATTCTTGTCAGTCTTACACCTGTCATAAATGAGGGAACTGAGGCTCAGGAAAATTCAGTAAATTTTTCAGGGCCCCAAGATCACCAGAAGGGGTTCTAAGTAAACCCAAGTTGGATGACTCCAGATCTGGGATTCATCTATACTAAAGGCTAATATTTATGTGAACCTGGCATTGTATCATAGGTGTGTATCCTAATTCATACTTATTCTCAGCGTGAATGAGTGTCGCCTGACGAGAGCACTCCACCCATGTCCTGCCTCTTCGTTGTTGTGTGCCCCACAGGGATTCAAACTGCATGAGGTCTTTGACTCCACGCTTTTTCCAAGAAAGTTAGTACCACAGACGACGAACAGGGAAGAATTAGTCCCTGTCAGTCCCTGGCTCCGACTCTAGTAGCGCTCAAGCCAATGACTGATGGAATGTCATAGAAAAGTCAAAGCTCCCAGTACCTACATCAAGGGACTCAGAACCATTTGTAACTCCAGTGGCCCCTTCTGGCTTCCATGGGCACCTGCATACACATACATGTATACACACACACACACACACACACACACATACACACACACACACACACAAATAAATCTCACACAAATAAAATAAATATTTTAAATATAAATAACCTTTTTCTTTTTTCTTTTCTTTTTTTTTTGAGACAGAATCTCTCTATAATGTAGCTCTGGCTGTCCTGGAACTCACCATGTAGACCAGGCTAGCCTCAAACTCATAGAGATCCATATGCCTCTGTCTCCTCAGTGCTGAGATTAAAGGTGTGCAAAACCATGCCTGGCTATAAATAATTGATGAACAAGTGGTAAAGTTTTACATATATGAGAATTGCATTAAAATGAATTTTTGTATGATTTATTATCAGTAAATGTTTGATTTGTGTATCTATCTACCTGGGTCTCTGTAAAAAATTTTCAGCTAAAAAGGGCATGGAAATGTTCAGAAACTCAATTTCAGTTCTTCCATGAGAGCTTAAAAATAGATACCATGGGATTGATAGCTATCAGAAAATTAAAAATAGGTAAGGTGGTTTGAGCGGAGAAAGACACGTGAAACTAAAGACAAATGGAGAGAAATCAGACTGAAGCACAGACAGAGAAAAAAAGATTAAAAAAAATGAACAGAGCTTGGTTGGGTGTGGTAGCGAATTTCTGTAATCCTGGTACTTGGGAAGTAGAGGCTGGAAGACCAAGAGTTTAAGGTCATCATCATCAGCTATGTGGTGAGTTCAAGGCCAGACTGGGCTCCATGCAACCCTCTGTCAAATAACAACAACAAAATATCTCTGTGACTGTGCCAATGTCTGACAGGTTGATGTGCAGTGAGAATCTCAGAAAGACAGAAGACAGTGTGTGTGTGTGTGTGTGTGTGTGTGTGTGTGTGTGTGTGTGTGTGTGTGTGTGAGAGAGAGAGAGAGAGAGAGAGAGAGAGAGAGAGAGAGAGAGAGAGAGGATGCAAATTCGAAGAGGGTTATGACCTCCAAATTTCCAAATTTGAAATAAAAACCCCCAACCTATTTCAACTGAATCACTTAAAGAAGCTTAAAAAGTCTCAACCAGGATAAAGTCAAAGAAAAATACTATTAGGCACAGCACTGGCAAAGTGCCAAAACAAAAAATAAAACAACCAAGAAAAAGGGTGCCTTAGATACAGGTGAACAATGATGGAAAATAACAGGGGAAAAAAATCTCTGAAGTGCATACAAAAGGAAAAAAAAAATCTGTCAACCTAGAATTACATAATAGCAAAAGTTCTAAATTATCCAAAACGAAGCTCAGAGACCTAAATCAGTGGAAACATGGTGTGGTGGATGGAATGAGAAGGGCCCTCATAGGCTCATGTGTTTGATTATTTGGTCTTTAGTTGGTGCAACTGTTTGGGAAGGATTAGGAGGTGTGGTCTTGTTTGGAGGAGGTGTGTCCCTGGGACTGGACTTTGAGGTTTCAGAAGGATTCCACGGGATTCTCAATGATCTCTGGTTCTGTCTTGTGGTTGTGGATCAAGATGTGAATCTTCAGCAACTCCTCTACCGCCACGCATGCCTGCAAGCTGCCATAATCTCCGCCATGATGGCCATGGATTCTAACCCCTCTGGAACTGTGGCTCCAGAATTAAATGCTTTCTTTTGTAAGCTGGCTTGGCCATGGTGTTTTATCACAACAATAGAAAATGTAACTGAGACGCGTGGGTCTGGATGATTCAAGCTTCACAGTGTGTAGTAGAGTTCAGGCCGGAGCAAGTCTCTGAGGTCAGCTCATGACTAAGCTCTTGGTTGCCTGAACTTCTTTACTTTCTCCCTGTCTCACTTTCTGACTTGTAAAATGAGGAGGATAATAGCATCTCCCTGACATGGTTATCACGGAGAGGTTAGTGCAATGTTTAATTTCTAGCCATCTGGGGATTTCCCATCTATCTTTCTATTGAAGGTTAAGTCTTTGTAATCAAAACACCTGAGATCCCAAATGTCTCCAATTTTTGAATTTTTTGAACACTGACACAAAGCCACAAATGAAAAATTCTACACCATAAAACTATTTAACACATAACATTATTAATATACTATATAACACTGGTTTCAGGCTGTGTTTATATATAAATGTAACATGAGTGATACCATGTATAGACTTGGGCCCTATACCAAAAAGATTTCATTATGCAAAAGCAAACACTCCAAATTGAAAAAAAATGAAATTTGAAACACTTTTGATCTCAAGCATTTAGAATACACAGCCTATATTTCTTTTTTAGCTTAATTCTGTTATGGCCCAGGAACATGCTTTGTGTGTTCCTTTGAGCTATGAAGGCTTAGGTAATGATACAGGATTAGTCTGCCTTGACAAATGTTTCCTACTCTTTCTACTTATTTGAAAAGATTACATATTTTGTCACTGGGTACAGTGTTCCAGACTTGTCATCTAGACCCAGTTGATTGATGATACCATTCCAATTCTCTGAAATCCTTCCTGGAATCTTCCTGCCTGTCTTGTACTTCTCCTGATGGCTGAAATTGGAGTGTAAAAACTCCAAGTACAGCTACGGATTCCCCAAGTCTCTCAGCAGTTCTGTCAGTTTTTGCTTCCTGTATCATGAAGCTCCGAACTTAGATGCACATGCCTTTACCCATGTTCTTGTGTGTGAGATGTGACATGAAAGATAGTCTGCATTTAAAAAAACTTACTGATTTGCTTTGAAGACTTATTTTACTTTTTCTTTATGTGTCTATGCTTGCAACTGTGTGTGGGGTTAGGTGCATGTGAGTGCAGGTGGGTATGGATGCCCAGAGTGTTGGATCCCCTGGAGGTGGAAGTACAGTGACATGTCATGAACTGGTCAACGTCGGTGGGAACCGAACTTCTGCAAGAACAGTATGCTCTGAACCACTGAGCCACCTTTCAGCCCCCAAACGCAACTTTTAAAATACCCGAACCAGGAAGAACGCTGCAGGAAATAGTTATTTAAAAGTGCCAGTGAACGAGAGTCTTGTGTGGCCAGTGAATGAAAGACAAGCATTACAGTGTAGAGAATCACCAAGGGGTCACACAGTTCATGATGTTCTTAGTGTGCTGACCTCTGACCTGAAGAATCCACAAGGCAGAGAAGCAAATCATCGGGATCATTGGCTCTATGGACACAGTCTGAGAAGATTTCTTCTTTAGGCTCCAGTGTGCCCCACAGGAAACAGTGTGATTCTGGAGCCAGTTTGCTGGGTCCCATTTCTTATCCCAACACTCACTTGCTGAGTGGACCTGAACATTTTTCTTTTTCTGCCTCATTTTTTCCCTCCACCTGTTCCAAAAGAGCTTCAAAACACACTCTAATAACAATACCCACTATAGAGGGTCATCATAAGGATTAAGTGAGTTGACCCAGGAAGAAGGGTGTTTAACACACGGTAATCATTCAGCAAGCAAAGCCTATTCTGAAAGCAACTGCCTGCATTAATTGAATGAAAGAGGCAGAACAAGTCCTTGTATTGGTTTCCATGTCAAAGCTAAGGACCACAAACCGGGGAAGCTGTAAACAAAGAAGATCAGTTAGCCACGGTTCTGGAGGCTAGAAAGCTGAAGTCAAGTTTTTGTGCTGGGACACACTCCCTCTGACGTTCTAGGGAAGGGTCCTTCCTCACCAACTTCTCTGGAGGCCATGATCTTGACCTGGTCTCCACGAATGTCTGTTGTAGAATATACTAAGGTGTGTTTCTTTTGTTTATGTTGCATTTGTTTAACTCTGTGAAGCTGTGTTACTGTGCCTGTCTAAAATACCTGATGGTCTAATAAAGAGCTGAATGGCCAGTAGCAAGGCAGGAGAAGGGATAGGTGGGGCTGGCAGGCAGAGAGAATATATAGGAGGAGAGATCTGGGAGGATTGGAAGAGAAGGGGGAAAACATTAGGGGCCAGCCACCCAGCTACACAGCCAGAGTAAGAGTGAAAGCAAAATTTACAGAAGTAAGAAAAGGAAAAAGCCCAGAAGCAAAAGGTAGATGGGATAATTTTAAGTTAAGAAAAGCTGGCTAGAAACAAGCCAAGCTAAGGCCGGGCATTTATAATTAAAAATAAGCCTCCACGTGTGATTTATTTGGGAGCTGGGTGGCGGGCCTTCCAAAAGAGTAAAGAGTAATAAAACAATGAACAATAAATGCCTACCTGTTTTTCTGTCCTGGTCTCTCTTAGAGCATTTTACTAATATCCTAATTTCAGCCCCATTAACAGACCCTTTTTCTGTTTTTCTGATCCCTATATCCACACTTGCTGGATAGGTGAACTGTGGTTGAGTGGGGTGTGACCGCCTTCATCCCTTCCATTTGATGGAAAGACCCCTCCTAGGGGGTATTTCCTTCTGCTCCAGATCTTCATTGGAGCCCTCTCTTTCCAGTTGAACCTGAAGTTCCAGAACATTCGATTTCTGAAGACGTCTCCTCTGTCCTTTGTTCCGTGTCCCCAAAAAAGAGCAGAATACTGATTAGCCCAACACAGGATTGTCAAATTTCCAATACAGAAAAGAAGATGGGAAAGGTCTGGAAAGGAATACACGTGTACTCATGTACATGTGTGGGTACAAGTATGTGCATGCATACATAGACATCTGTTATTTTGTCTTCTCCCCCCCCCCCCCCCCCCCAGAGCTGAGGATAGAACCCAGGGCCTTGTGCTTGCTAGGTAAGCGCTCTACCACTGAGCTAAATCCCCAACCCCATTTTTTTTTTTTTTAAAGACAGGGTTTCTCTGTGTAGCTTTGCGCCTTTCCTGGAACTTGCTTTGTAGACCAGGCTGGCCTCGAACTCACAGAGATCCACCTGCTTCTGCCTCCTTTTGTATAGCTTCTTCCCGGATAAACCTTCATCTTGGAAGCAAGCTTGTTGAGAAGCTGTGTGTTAAAAGGCAGATAAAGCATCCGGGTTTTCCAAGAGGAGATGAGACATTCCATCCTGCAGGAACCGTAGTGATCTACACACGAGTCTCTTCCCGTCCCAAGCATCTATAAACCATAAGGACGGTTGAGGGACACGCTCAGACTAGCTGAGCTGCTTAGATGGGAGACCTACCAAATGGTCTGGAAGAGGCTGCGGCCAGCTGAGCCACCTGGATAGGACACCCTCCACCCTGCTGGGCTGCCTGCAGGTTGTGCAGTGTGGGCTCCGGGTGTCTAGCTCTCATGAGCTGTCTGTCACCCATGCTGGGGTGGGCTATGGGGATGCATCAGTCTTTCAGTCATTTCTGCGGCTGTAAGTCACCCCTCATCTTTATTTCTATAAGTAGCCCCAATAAAACTCTTTGGTTCCTTGAGTTGGATGTTGTTGGTATCTGTACTTTGTCTTCGGCTTCTAATCTGGTTTGAGCCAGTATTTGTTCGCGTCTCCCTAGGAACAGTATTGCACAACATACAGATGCTCAGATGTACACATGATATCCTGCAGAGGTACTTGGAAAGAGTACCCCAGTTGCTCCGCTTCAAAGCTTCTCTCCATCCTGGGACCGGCTCAGTGAAGATTCCACAGCTGGAAGTGTCCTATCTCTCTGGTTCAGTGAGCTGAACCCAAGACTGTGTTGTACCAGAAGGGTTTAGTGAGCCCTTATCTTCCTCAGGAACATTTGCTATGAGACTTTATTGTTTAGTTATGAGGCTAAAAGTCTCTTTGGAGTCTTATAACTTCTGTTTTATATGGATATTTACTTTGAAATACTTTATAGCGTTCCGTGCATTTGCAAGAAACACGTTCAGTGCATTGAATTCAGGTGATGGCTTCCTAGCGACTTGCTTGCTATGGGTGAGGCCAGCACACGATGGTGAACAGATAGGTTGTTTAAATAACTGTTGGTTGTGCCTCACAAGAGACCTTTTGAGGGAAATGAAATTTAGCAGTAATTCTTTTTTATTATGAATGACACTTTATTCAGTCATTTTCTTTACAACTGAAACTCTGGGAATTCAAAATTAACACCTTTCCCTGTGAGCTTCTTACACACACCAGAAAAGGTTTCGACCGGGTGCTCCACGTCGTTCTGCTGGGCTTCGTCTAAGTGAACCGTCGGGAGGTGGCAGTCATCCAGTTTCTCACGGATCCTCTTCCCCACAATGTCCCTTGGGAAGACCAAGTCCTCGAGGGCGGCTTCACGCACTGCAGTGAGGGTGTGGCTTCACGCACTGGCAGTGAGGATGTGGCTTTGCCCACTGCAGTGAGGGTGCGACGTCACACACTGCAGTGAGGGTGTGGCGTCACACACTGCAGTGAGGGTGTGGCGTCACACACTGCAGTGAGGGTGTGGCTTCCGGGACGCTTTTGTTTATTTTTCCTTCGGCTTTTCCGAGTTGGCTGGGGCAGAACCCTCCTCTGAGCAATGAGGACCATGTGCTTCCCACTAAACTTTTTCTCCAATTCATGAACCATCCGGACTTGGATTTTCTGGAAAAATTTCAGCTGAGGAACTGGTACCAAAATTATGATAATGGCTTTCCAAACGCCACCAACTTTGATTTCCTTGGCCGAGATGATGTTGAGTTCCCGCAGCTGCACCTTGAGTTCTGAGTTTATGTCCAGCTCGAGCAGCGTCTGGGAGATGCCAGACTCGAACTCGTCCGGCTTCTCGCCATTGGGCTTCCCGATCTTGGCGCTGGAGCTGAACATGGTTTGTTCTTACGGAGTAGGGCCGGCTTAGAAAGAGGCCCCATCTGTGGAGAACAGCTCATGTGCGGGTGGCGGAACGAAATTCAGCACTAATTCTGAGTATGGACTAGCTCGCATATGTGGATACATCCCCACTCTCACCCCGTTCCCCACCCCACCCCATTCCCCATCCTGACCCAAGAACACAACAGAACACAAAATGTTTTCATATTTTGTTCCTTATAGGATTCTTATCTTTTAAATTACATATTTACGTGTGTGTGTGTGTGTGTGTGTGTGTGTGTGTGTGTATGTGTGTGTGTTGGGGGGGGTGGTTGTGCACATGCCAAGTGTCCAGGTGGAAATTAGGAAAATTTGCAGGAGTTGCTTCTCTCCTCTTCCACCGTGGGGTTCTGGGGATCGAATTCAGACTGAGCTTGGCAACCAGCGCCTTTATCCACTAAACAGCCATCTCACTAGCCATCTAGTTCTCATGTTTAAGGTGTTTCCTTTTAGTTTTACTACTTACCATACAACAAACACTTAATCTCATTTTGTCCTGCAGTTTTTAACACGATACAATCTAATTCGTAAGGTTCTAATGCTTCATCTTTAAACTGGTCAGGAGGCTGAGGCTGAGGCTGAGGCTGAGGAGAGAGATCGGGAGGGTGAGGCCCTGTTTTATCTTTTTCTTCTTTCTTTCTTTTTCTGAGAAAATATTTTCAGAGGAGCTCTCTCACTGTAGCCCAGCCTGACTTCCAATTAGTCATCCTCCTGCCTCGAGCTCCCAAGTGCTCGGATTACAAGTGTGGGCCGCCACCCCTGGGCCAGCGGCTCCTTTCTGAAGGCTGTTGCTGCCCTGGGCACCTCAGCTGAGGACCATGGCTTATTGTTCCCACAGCACAAAAGGAGTCCCCACCCTTTCCCTGTTGTCATTCTCTTTCTAGACTTCTAGCAAGAATGCTGCTGCCTCAGGGCAGCCATGTTGTAAAGTAGACAGCCTGCTGCCGGGAACCATACATATTTGGAATTTGAAGTTGACTTGGACACCAGAAATAAAACACTTCAAGAAACTCAACTTTTGGAGCAAGCTGGCTCAGCTTAGCTCCTCTGAAGTGTGTTTGACGAGTGCCTCGCTCGAGGTGACCTCTCTTCCGGGGTTGACGGGGAGAGCGATGGTCCTGGGCACTTTTCTTCTTCTTTTAATGTGATGAAAATTCCCTCCGCCAGCTGAGCATGCTCAGTGGGATGAGAGCGGGTCTCGCCGTGGGAAAAGAGACGGGTGAGGGCAAGGCCCTCGGGGGCCATTCTTGATGCTGTGCCGCAGCAGTGACGACGAAAGCTCGAGCTGAAAGCTACATCAAGCTCGAAATACATATTTAACAAGCAGAGGGCGAGGGATCGTGTCCTGGATTCTGTCAGGCATGCACGCAGCATCCTGTCACGCAAGGCAGAGGGGGTGGTGAGCTAAGGGCTCCAACCAAGCCCTCCTGCAGGGAGGCCGACCTCTCAGGAGCAAAGTTGCCCTTCGACTCAAGGAAGAGAGTAAAATTCTAGAATCCCGAGGAAAGGAGCGAAGGGGGAGATTTGGCTGAACCGTTGAAGTTTTCTCCTCCATAAGCCGTGACAAAAGAGGTTTTGTTGCAGTGAGGCCGTGAGTAAGATGAACGATCAGGACTGTGGGTGGGGATCGCCCTGTTGTGGAGAGGAGCTAGCTTGCATCAGGAGACGAGGAAGGAGGGCGGTAGTTGAGAAAGCTTGAAATTGCTGGGCAGTCTAGGCTGGAACCTGCAGGTGCCGGGGTCAGAGGAAGCAGCTAGAACAGAGTCAAGTGCACACTCTGGTGAAATCACACGGCTTTCCTTACCTTTCTTCCTTCGTGTTTCAAGAGGGGAAAACTGGGTGATGGTGACTAACATTGAGTGGACCTACCCCCCCCCCCCCAAAAAAAAAATCCAAACAAAGGAAACACCAGAAGGCAGCCTAAAGAGGTGTTCTAGTCAGCTTCCTGCTGCTGTGATAAAACCACTCTGACCAAAGGCGATCCGGGAGGAAAGGGTTTATTTGGCTCACACTTCCCTCACTGAAGGAAGTCAGCAGGAATTTAAGGCAACAGCTTGAAGTAGAAACCGTGAAGGGCGCTCACTCACTGGCTCATGTTCAGCTAGCTTTCTTCTATTGCCCAGGCTCACCTGCCTAGGGACGGTGCCACCCACAGTGGGCTGACTTAGGAATCGCCAGTCAAGTCAACCCCTCAGACCAATCTGATCTGGAGCATTCCTCAGCTGAGGTTCCCTCTTCCCAGGTCACTCAAGGTTATGTCAGGCTGACAATAAAACTAACCAGCCTAGAGAGAGGATAGATGGCATTAGATGATTTCAGGCCTTAAACTTGGTACTCCATATATTTTTCTATGTCTTCCCTTCTGCCTCATTTGACTTCAACAGCTGCCCCAGATTGTTCTGGATCTAACTCTCTAAATCTAGAATAACAAACTGTGAGAGCCAAAGGAGACAAAAGAGAGGTAAAAAGATCAGGCTGGGGGCTGGAGAGATGGCTTTGAGGTTAAGAGCACTGATTGCTCTTCCAGAGGTCCTGAGTTCAAATCACAGCAACCACATGGTGGCTCACAACCATCTATAATCTGGTGCTGTCTTCTGCTGGGCAGGGGTACATGTAGACAGAACACTGTATACTAAATAAATAAATCTTAAAAAAAAAAATAGATCAGGCTGGACCTGAGTCTTTTAGGAAAGCACTGATCTTTGGCTAGGTAAAATGGGATTATTCTATATCAACTCACCAGATTCCAAGGAAAGTATAGAACTCACCAATGCATGATAAAGTCTGGAAACCGGCTAAGTGGACGAAGCCAGTCACAGAACACCACATACCGCATAAGGCCTTGTACATGGAATGTCCAGAGTGGGAAAGTATAGAAAGAAAGTAAATTAATTATAATCCAAAATAACAGACTGAAGGAACTGTGTCCCAAGGTAACTGGTGATAGCAAGACAGCTTCCTTTTGGGGTGAGAGGACTGATTGGAAATTAGGCTGTGACAGGAGCTGTGCGGGCCTTTGAATAGACGACAGTCAAGGGTTACTTAATAAGTGGGACACTTACTGAGAAACGTGCCGTTAGATGATTTCATCATTGAACAAATATCACGAAATATACCTCCACAAAGACAGCTACGATATCCCCACTTGATTCAACCTTATATTGTATTGAATATTATATCAATATCCAATAATCAATGCCTTACATGGACTTCCTTATTAATCATAACTTCATCCTGTGGGGCATGATTGCACTAAAACTTAGTGATTTGCACATAAGAATTTTATGACACATGGGAATGTGTGTAAATTTGTTTAAAAACAAGATGAAAGCTAAAATTGAAATTTAGGTAAATCACGAACAGAAATTTAATAACTACATCCCTTACAAAAAAATTGTAACACATTTGAAATAAAAATATATTAATTATTAAATTGAAATATAAATTTTAACAAATGGTCTAACTTTAAAATCATATATATATGATTTTGAAATAAAAATAAAAAACTTATTTTCCACCCAAAAAGTTTATATATATATATATATATATAAATATATACACACATATATATGTTTATAAACTTATAAACATATTTGTATATTAGTATTCAGGACTGATCATTCTTAAAGAAGCATTCAGGTGGCCCACGGTATTGTTCGATTCACAAGGGCTTTTTGGCTGATACTTTCAAGAGCTGGAGCATTTCTGGAGACAGGGGCAGAGGAAACCTTCGAGCCAGCACACCCGTGTCCTTCCTCCTCTAGTGCTGGCTCCTGGGGTCTGCTGCTATGTCAACAAAACTAGCCTGCAGACAGAGCCCAAATCTTCCTAACACACAAAGTTGGGGAAATTGGGGCCATAAATGACAAAGTCACGAACTCACGGGAGCGTGGTTGGCACGGAGTCGCTGGGGAGAGCGATGTGCTCACTTCAGCCCAAGGGACGAATTCCAAAAAAAGAGAAAACAGCGGTGAGGTGACAGGGGACTTCGTGCTTGGATGGCTAAGTGAGGCAGCTAGAATCGCTCATCAATATTAACCACACCGTGTGGACTGTATGAGGAGAGAATATGTGACTTCCATGCTCGCAACGAGAGTAAGACCAACTTCACAAAGGCTAAATTTCTTCGATACAGGTGCAAAAAGAACCAATTTATTTCCCCATCTTTTTTTTTTTTTTTTTTTTTTTTTTTTTCCTGAGATAGGGTTTCATTATGCAGCTCGGACCATTCTGGATCTTGACCAGGCTGGTCTTGAACTCACAGAGATCTGCCTGCTTCTGCCTCTCAAGTGCTAGGATTAAAGGTATATGCCACTACACCAGACTTCCACTAATTCTCAAAGTCTGAATGCATTTGAAATCATTATTGCCCTTTCCTATCTCCGTTCATTCTATGTGAGAAGCTGTCTCCTTGCTGATTAAAGTTTGAACATAGCCTCCTTGGGTTCAGATTGGCTTGATCAAATAAGAAAACCACAAGAGTCTGGAGAGCTGACTCTGTGGTTAAAAGTACTCATTGCTTTGAGAGAGGTCTTGGGTTCAGTTCCCAGCACCCACATGGTAGTTCACAACTCCAGTTCCAGGAGATTCAATGACCTCTTCTGACTTCCATGGGCACCAGGTGGTACACCTACATACATACAGTCAAACAAAACATTAAAATAGACGTGTTTTGTTTGTTTGTTTGTTTGGTTTTGGTTTTGGGTTTTTTGAGATAGGGTTTCTCTATGTAACAGTGCTGGCTGTCCTGGAACTCACTCTGTAGCTCAGGCTGGCCTCATACTCACAGAGATCCTCCTGCCTCTGCCTCCTGAGTGTTGGGATTAAAGGTATGAGCCACCACTGCCTAGCTAAAATAGACAAGTCTTAAAAAAAAGAAAACCATGCTGGGTGGTGGTGGCGCACATCTTTAATCCCAGCACTCAGGAGGCAGAGGCAGGTGGATCTTTGTGAGTTCG